TATAGTTACACCCGAGGCATGTACAGTGGTCTAGATGCATGTCAGAAGCAAGAATATTACTTCAGAATACTGTAGTGCAGATTAAAGTATCTATAAATTTTTGTGACAATAGGCATATACAGTATATATATATAATACTGAATCAGAAACTGCCCCGAGGTTCACAACAGAGGGCCTATATCCAGTTTCATAGAGTGGTGATAATTGTTATTAAGTCACATTCCAGATAAGTTGCAGAAACATGGGTGGACTATCTGTACATTTCATAGAAATGCATGTAATATGTCACAACATACATACATTTATATATTTATTTTTTATTTGTTTTATTTACTACATTTATTGGCCACTGATCTTACCATAGGGTAACTTTAGGCGGCTTGCAATATTAAAAAGATGAAACTATATAAATAAAATCCTACAAACATATAAATATACAAAATACAATACCTAAAGGATGGGAAGGGAGGGAGTAGGATAAGTGGGGAGGGCAGGAACAATTTATGAAGCCATGATTGGGAGTAGGAGGGCAAATTTTTAAAATCCTTTCCATGCCAGCTATTTTTCAACTCAAAATTGTCATGGTGGCAATTTTAGGTGTTTATTAGACCCTGTACAGAGGAAAAAGAAGCAGTTTCAACTGAAGAAATGAAGAGTTAATAGAACGTATTGATTTTGAATATGTATTAGAGGAAATTTCTCTGTCAAAACTGTTCTTGCTATAATAATGACTTTGATAACTTTTTTTGAAAAATAGAATGCACCCAAGGTACATGTAAGTGCAGCTAGCCTGCTGGCCCTGCCAAAATCAGAGTCTATATACAAATAATTTTAATTGATGTAAGGCAACAGCAGTGAGGAAATTTGGTATAGTGGGGGGTGACTTGAGGGGGAGAAGAAGGCTTAGCAGCAGTCTGCCAATAGCTCTCCTGTGCCTGGTGCTGGCTTGCCTGCAGATGGCAGAAACTCATCCTGGAACCTTCGACATGTAAAGCAAATGAGCCACAGGGAGTAGACTAAAAATCAGAGCCAAGACATAATGTGAAGAATCTTACTTATTTCCTACCTAGAATATGAATATATAGACCAAAGTAGTTACAAATCATTAAATGCATATATTGCTTTTGCACTATAAACTAGAAAACGCCAGGAAAAAGTCCTAGAATCTGTTCATGATACTATGGCTGAACTTGAGGAAATATGAAATAATAGTGCTGGACTTCCGCATATCCAGGCTGCCTTGCTTTTTCCACCAAAACAATCAGCTCTGAACATCTCCATCTCTGTTCAGTTGAAAGCACTTCAGAGAGTAGAGAGTTTGCAAAGAAGCCAAATCCTTTATATTTCTCATGCGTAGTTTCTAGCACGTTAATCTATTTTTGCATTTCCTTCTCTCATAAGCTGCCCATATGTATAAACATATACTTGAGGTCTTCCACAAGGCCAGAGTTTTGGTCCCTGTCTCCATCACCTGGTGTTAACCCAACCTGAGTGTTGTACTTAAACCGAAATATGTGATATAAAATACAGCCAGTCGTCTGAAACTCTTTCTTCATGCATACCTGCTCATTATTTATTTTGATCCTAACAAATCTGTTTGTCCAAATCTATTTTTTACAGGTAGGTATAATTTGTGAAGCTATTTTAAAAGCAAACATTGGGTTCCAAACATAAATCAGGATTAAAACTTTTAAACAAAAGAAATACCCATTAGTTGAATTTTGATCCCTGAATTTGAGATTTTACCCTTTTAAACTATTTAAACAATAAGCATGGTATGACTTAATTAACATTCAGCAACAAAAACTTTATTTTTAAAGCCCTTCATAATTTGAAACTTCCCTTCCCTTGATGTGTTCAAACAGAGGTTGCTTTAATTTGGATTTTTGCACTGAACAGGGGATTGGACTTCATAGCCAGATGGTTCCTTCCAATTCAGTGATTGTTCAGTGCTTAAGATTAATACTATTAAAATTAGTAACCGTGAAGAAAGAGGGAAAGCATTTTTTATTTTGGGAAAAATACCATCAAAAACTTGTAATATATTTCTGCAGCTTTACAGAAAAATCTCCCATTTTATTTTCTAATAACCACTCTGCAATTCTGGGCCAATTGAACATGCACTTGTAAACTTGTAGTACCTCTTAGCATAATAGCACCTACTTTTTGCTTCTCAGTAGCATTGCTTCCTACTTGGCAGTTACCACTATCTTTTGCTTTTAGAAGGAGCACAGTTTCCACTATTTATACTGCATCTTTCTTTAAGTAAGATTGTACCTCCTATCTATCTNCACTCTGCAATTCTGGGCCAATTGAACATGCACTTGTAAACTTGTAGTACCTCTTAGCATAATAGCACCTACTTTTTGCTTCTCAGTAGCATTGCTTCCTACTTGGCAGTTACCACTATCTTTTGCTTTTAGAAGGAGCACAGTTTCCACTATTTATACTGCATCTTTCTTTAAGTAAGATTGTACCTCCTATCTATCTTGCATAGGAGAGTGTTCTCATTAACCGGTCATAATGTCTGCCACCCATAATTCCAGGGGGAAGTTTTAATACTACTCCACATTCATGTGTACCTTTCTTTGTATAGGCAATTTATAAAGCATTTCATGTTTTTCCGTGACGTCCTTTATACCAAATCAGGGGCTCTGAAATAGTAACATCTTGATAGCCAAGGTTTAGAAAAATGCTTTTTTCTTGCTTTAAGATAAGTCTATAGAAATATCTGAGAGCTGCCAAGTGTTATTTGACTATAATTGCCATAAAAGCTCTGGATTTAAAGCTAGAAATGCCTACAAGTGGATTTATCACTGCAGATTTATAGCTGTTTATCCATGATGAATCATTTGTTTTTTTTACTGGCTATTTCCTGTTTGAATTTTATTTGATTGTACTATGTTGATATCTTTGACTGTTGAAGTGTTTGAACATGAATAAACTAGCTAAATAAACTAACCCTCCCTCTCCATCCCTGATACCACCTTGTCCAAAATGAAGTACTTTTTTTTCCAAAATATATTTTATGTACTGTACTGAGATCTGGCAATTTTTTATTTATAGACCTAAGAAAAATAAAGACTGTTTGATATTATTTCAGAAGAGGTTGTTGGAAGTAAATACAAGTAGTCCTCGACTTATGACCATAATTTAGCCTAAAATTTCTGTTGCTAAGCGAGACATTTGTTAAGTGACTTACGACCTTTTTTGCCACAGTTGTTAAGTGAATCACTTTAATTGTTAATAACACAGTTGTTAAGTGAATTTCCCATTCACTTAGCTTGTCAGAAGGTTGAAAAAGGTGATCCTGTGACCTAGGGACACTGCAACTGTCATAAACAACCAGCAACTGAATTTTGATCACGTGACCCTGCAGGTGCTGCAAGGGTTGTAAGTGTGAAAACTGGTCATAAGTCACTTTTTTCAATGCTGTTATAACTTTGAACGGTCACTAGATGAACTGTTGTAAGTCAAGGACCACCTGTATTCTAGCTCTGTATACATACCGGTACATATCTTTAATCTGCTTTGGATGATCAAACAAATACTACCTGAACTGATTTTTTTTAAACCCATCAAAACATGGACAAGCAACTTGCAATAGGTAAATGCATACCCTTTTATATTATCTACTTAGTTTAATACCTAAGAGATATTAAAAGTTTGAATAAGTATAATTTCAGCGCATCTTTGAAATCAGCTTGGAATATTTAGGCCTTTTCTTAGTCAGAGTTATTTAGAAAGGATGCACTAGATGGGTGGCTATTTAAAAAAAATGAATGGAACGCAAACTAGGCTAAAACCTTACAGAGTTGTTTATTCTAACCATATTTTATTCCTTATGTTGTGTGGCTTCCTTTGCTATTGGAAACAGAAGAATTGGAGATGTAGTTACCATTTCCAAAATGACCACAGTGTGTCCTCAGAGTGCTATAGTGTATTGTTAAACAATCCAATGAAATGATTTCTCTAATCAAAGGCTAGAAATGAGGCAGAAATTTGTGTGGTTCATAATTTAATATGAAACAACCAACTTGCATTTTTTTTAAAAAATCAATAAAAAATATTGGAATAAAGCTTTTGAACTTTTTCTGAAATTGAAATGCAATACTCCAGTGAAGTTACTTTATAAAAACTGGCTAGACAAAAACATGTATATATTTCAACGAATGTACACAAATAGGTATATATTTTAGAAAAAATATACTGCATTAATTTTTAGGCAGTTGTGCTAAGAAAAATCATAATTAGTTTGGGGAGAATCACTCTAGATTTTTAACATTTAAATATATTAGCAAGTAGCTATGACTTCTAATTAATATAATTTATTAGATTTAGTTGCTATCCAATTCCAAACAATTCTGATTATTGATCAATTGATCAATTATATTGTATTATTTATTTATTAATCACATTTCTACAGCTACCCATCTCACTAAAAGAAATCAATATACTCAGTTATTTTTTTTATATTAGGTTTATATGCTGACTTTCACTCAGGAGCTCAAAGTGGCAATTATGGCTTACTGGGAATCAATGGTAGACAGCTGAGCAAGTTTGCACAGACAAAGCCTAAAACATTTAGTTTTATTTCTACCAACTCCAATTAAGTAATCACAACTAGCAGGACTAAGAAAGATCTAGGAGAATCCATATCTCTGTGGGTGAATAAGGAAATTAAGAAAACTAACTCTTTAACTCCCTCTCTCACTTCCCCAAAATGACAATTGATTTGGATCTCATACATCTCAGCCACATTACTAGCATGAAAAAAAGATTCTTTAAACTCCTCTTTACAATGTGGAAATCAGTAGAAGTCTTTGCAGTCATCCCCTTATCCTATAAACTTTAGTAGAAACATCCCATATGAGAGTGAAACAGTCCCCCCCAAAGTCACATGCTTCTAGAGAGAAAAAACTTAAACTGCCTAAGAGCCTAAGACATTTTAGTATATAATTAAGCAGCATACGGTTGCACTACAGTAGCAAAACTCTTACTTATCTCGGCTTGCCTTGAGCCTTAGTTCTTTGGATGTCCTTGAGAGTGAAGCAGTAGCTAGGTACTGCTTGAAAGCAGCTCAAATTTTGAATTGTAATGCTGCAAAACTGCTGTAAAACAGCATTGGCGTGAACAATCTGTTCAAGAACATCTCTGTAGCTTTTGAAATGAAACAAGGATGTATTTTCTTTGGGCCTTTCCCCATTGTGGAATTGAAGCGCTCCCTATTTGTCTCCTTCTCGCTTGTATCCAACCTGCATTGCTTCAGTTTCAAGTTACTGTAGTTACCTGGTTTCCCCCTGTTTGGAACATGGCTCAAGATCCCAAAACAAACAAATTCCAGCAACAAAGTTTTATTTAAAAAGAAGCATTTGCAAAGGCTTGGTGAGTGAAGCACACGTAGGAGTCCAGCCACACCTTAAAGACCTGTTTGACACATTTTTATATCCTACCACCGACGCAGATTCCCCCCTCCCCTATCGCTCTCAACGCCCCTTCCCTAATCATCCGATAAACTAATCCGGACCGCCTAAAACCACTATCCCCTCCCATGTTCCAGGAAGTCTCTTTGTGCACGTCTTATCTATCACCATCTAATTTTCTGTTAACAAAGCTTGGTTCCTGTAGTTCAGTGGTTCTCAACCTGTGGGTCGGGACCCCATTTGGGGTCGATCGATCATTTCATGGGGGTTGCCAAGCAAGGCTGTCCGCCATTTTTTTGTCCGCCATTTTTTTTCCCCTTTTCCGGCGGGTGCCTTACCTCCCTTGGGCTGGGCCAGCTGGTGGTCGGCCTGCTCCGTCTCTGCCGCTTGCCAGCTACGCCTCGGCCGGCGCAGGGGGCGGAACCACGCATGCGCGGCGCTCCCGGGCAGGGAAAGTCCTCAACTTACGACCGGTTGGGTAGTCCTCGACTTACGACCGGTTTAGTCCTCGACTTACGACTGGTTTAAGTCCTCGACTTACGACCAGTTTAGTCCTCGACTTACGACCGGTTGGGGTTGCGGCATTAAAAAGGTTGAGAACCACTGCTATAGTTATTTCTATATTTCCTATGCTTGCAGTTTCAGTTAGCCAGCAACTTCTGCTTTTCTTATTTGTATATAGTTAATTTGTCTGAGTATATGACTTTCAGGTGGCTTCTCCTACAGACCTTTAGATTCATTAGAAATTTATGATTAATAATCTACTCCTGTCACCCCCAATGGAAGGTGCAGTGGTGGGATTCAGCCAGTTCGCACCAGTTCAGCAGAATCGGTAGCTAATTTTTTGTTGCCCAGGCCCAGAATGTACTCCCGGAAGCGGCATCCACACAGAGAACTGGTTGTTCACATATTTGAATCCCACCACTGGGAAGGTGATAAAAACATCACACACCTGGAAGCAGCCCTTGGTCAGTGTCAGAATAATTGGAAAGATGCTGTTTTATCACTTGTGCAGATTAGCGTTTGTTGTTGTTGGTTTTTTTGTCTCTGTCAGCCAATGGCTACTCCTCTGGATCTCTATCTAGAAAATTTAGAGTGGATTAAAGCCCCAACTAGGGCTCCAAATATGACAACCAACACCTTGTATTATACCCAGAAATCTACAGGAAGCCAGTGCACATGGCAGTGGTGTGGCATAAAGCATACCATGGAAGAGTACCCAATATTACACAGGCTGCTTCATTTTGGACCAGTTGAAGCTTTTGAATCCTCTTCAAGGGCAACCTCATGTACAGTGGTTGTAATAGCCCCAACAGCAGTCAAGCAAGGCATAAACAACTGTGAACAGTGCCTCCCAATGTAGGAACAGGGACAACCAATGTGCACAAGATACAACAGTGCAGGGCTCTCATGCTTTCATACGGAACAGATAATAAGTGAGTGACTTTCTGCGGTAAATTATCTGAAATGTAACAGCAAGCTATTTAGGTTAAGTTTCACTTCTTTGGACTTCTCTGTCAACAATTAGCATATTTTCTCCTTCGGAATACTCATCATTCATTTTCATTCCCCTCAATTTCTTCAAGGCTAAGAAAAAATAAAATTGCTACCAGAAAAGTCAAGTGAAGAGATCCAGACAGGTCATAGCTGAACTGACTCCACCTGCCTAGGAAAAAAATACAGTTTATTAAAACTGGCCAAGTCGAGCTACCTTTGGCCTCTTGAACCCCTTCCTTCCCCAATGAGTGAAACACAAACCCTTGGTTTTTCCAAGCTATAGCAAAGGAAAATACCTCAGTGGAAAAGTATTCTTGAGTCTGTTAAGACAGCACAACTTCTAAGCAACAAGAAGTTATCTATAGATTTACAATGTCAATTTTTCTGGCAGATGAAGGGACATTGTACCTGTTTGCTGCTTACTGGGCCCTTAGAGACATTTCACTGACCTGTATGTTCTTGTATATCAGAAATATCTCTTTGGTACAAACACAGCTAAAATGAATTAAGGCTTAAGTCCATAAGATGTTAGTTACTATTTACGTAATCTTTACTGGCATTTTAGGATGATTAACTTCATCAATAATTTTTGAAATCTCTCTCAGTGATTCTCTTTAAACTGGTTACCACTTTGGAAATTTTAAAATGCCAACAAATATCTGACACAACAGGGTGAGTTGTCTTATTTACCAAGTCTGAACTTTGCTCCGTGTCATTGTGCCCATTATCCAAATTTTCAGACAGGAGGACTTTTCTAACCTGGACTGTGGTGAGCTCAGGTGTAGTAAGATGATTTTCAAATGAACTACAGCCATCCCTTCCAAAAGGCCCTGATTCTGGAATTGGTTTTTGGAATTCTAATTTAAAAGGATGGGAGAAAAGTCTTTCTTCTCACTGGGCATGCTCTGCAAATATTATTAGTAACTGGGTTTTGGATCTTACTTAAATATAGTACAGCTGCATCTGTTATTAACTAAAGCAGAAACATTATTTTTCTGTCTTCTATGAAAGTGTCAAAAAAGATGCCACTCCTTGAAGATACTGGCTCACTACACAGATGCGTGAAAGACAACATGGCTCCACTATTAACAAAAAAGTGGTGTTTTATTTATGTTCACAAGAGGTCTGAAGTATAAGCTTGTATATACACAACCCTACTGCACCTCCTTTATAAAAAGTGATAAAAATGGCATGGTTAAGAGCAGTCACATTTCATGCATCAGCAGTTTGGGATAAGTTTGCTTTAAAAAATGTAACATATTTTCCATTTTCTTTATTATGGATTTACTTTCTACAGTCTTATACAGAGTAACAAAAACATTTTCATGTACAACTTTAAAACAAATAAGAACCTTCTTACTAAACCTTCTTACTAAATTAATGTTTTGTAATCATAATATTCCAGGCAATGACAACCCTACATTTTGATAAAATTACATTGGCATTGGCTTACTGAGTGACTGGTTGAAATAGTTCTAAATGTGTTCCCTTTCTTGTCATTGTAGCGCTTGGCTTGATAAAATATAAGTATGAAAATTCTTATATTCACTTTAGGGCTATACAATTTGTTATAAACAGGTCCTTTCAAAAGTGAATTGGTATAAATGAAGCATTCCTCCTTAAAGTGTTAAAGTGGTCATATCCTCTAGAAGTCATGGAACAGATACTTTCAACATTTTTTTTTCCAGTTGTGCCCCCAATGGTAGCCTTGGTGAAATGCTGTCTCTATTAAGTGTGCAGAACTGCCATTTTGCTCCACTAGTAGTGCCAGTGAAAATTTTCTCTGAGCATGGAAGCGCAAGTTCAGACAACCATCCAGATGATGCAACTACTTCGGTGCTTTGAGAAGTTCTTCATTTGCGGCAATGTATTATACAAAATGCCCCTTTCCAATGTTCTGCACAGTCCTCATATAGATAAGAAGAGTAAGATTTAACATAAGTATACAGACATATCCCATGCTGGGAAACATTAGGAAAAGAACATAAATAACACATATCAGGCAAATTTTGGTATATATCTTTCTGCCAACTAAAGAATGAATGGAGAGCAGTTGAACTTAGCAGTGGGAAAAGGCCCTTCATAGTGGGAAACTCATTGTCATGGCTGCTTAATTTGAGTTTTCACTTGTTCATGTTTTTCTACCTATTCCATTTTAGATTTCCAAAAACGTCCCATCAATTTCTTGCTGACAACAATGTTTGAGTTACTCAACTGAGAAAGTTAATTGCAATTGAGTACTTTGTTTCTCACTGCATTATAAAAAAGATGTGATTTGCCACTGAAACATGAACAAAATAATATGGTGCAACTCATCAAATCAGACCACTGTAATCCAAAGCATATACTGAACTGCAGGATATGTTTAAAATGGCGTACTTGAAATTTAAACAGTTAAATTGAAAGTTAAATATTTACATTTTTTTAAAAAAAATTGCTTAAACGAAAATAGACATATTGTTTAATTCTTATGGGAAGATAGATTTCAACCAAATATTTTGGTAAATGAGAGGACTGAATTGCTCACATTGGAATAAATGCTTACTTATATTATCTTTAGCAATTGTTACATATATATTTTATACTGATAGCTACATGACTACCCTATTTATTTACACGGGATACCCTCTTTGCCATACGTATGACAGAGTCAGTTTTTCATATGTCACATTCTGTGAAATATCTGATTCAGAAGGCTTCTATAGCAGATGTGAGAGTTAATGGTCTTTCTTAAGTAAAATGCAATGAACATAAGATTGATCTGCTGTCCAAACATCTATTTCAGTCTGTGCAATATGGGGTCCTCCATCTGTGTAGGACTATAGTTTCAATTGTATCCTACTAGAGGATTGGAGTGGCAGAAGATGTCCAACACTTTTGGAGAATACCAAGATCAGAAAAGCTGTCATATTTAATTCATTATTTGGCTCATATATAGACAATCCTCGACTTACGACCGCAATTGAGCCCAAAATTTTTATTGCAAAGTGAGACATTTGTTAAGTGAGTTTTGCCCCATTTTACAACCTTTCTTGCCACCGTTCTTAAGTGAATCACTCCAGCTGTTAAATTAGTGAACTGGTTGTTAAGTGAATCTGGCTTCCCCACTGACTTTGTTTGTCAAAAAGTCGCAAAAGGTGATTTCTGGACACTGCAACTGTCATAAATAGGAATCAGTTGCCAAGTGTTTGAATTTGATCACGTGACCGTGGAGATGCTACAACAGTTGTAAGTGTGAAAAATGGTCATAAGTCACTTTTTTTCAATGCCGTTGTAACTTTGGACGGTCACTAAATGAACTGTTGT